CATAGTTGTCCTGAAAGAGGATGTTGCAGAAGGAGCACCCTTCTTGCAGGCGCATCCGCACTGCTGGAGGCACGCTGGCACCATGGCCTCCGCACTCGCAAAGATGCAGTATGGCGAGATCTGGAATGTCCGAGAAGATTCTGCGCACATCGTTGCACAGTCGGCTCATGTATTCTGTCCAGCGTGGCGCAGTTGGCTGCAGCTGCGCCGTTTGCAAGCCAACGTTGTAAAAGGCCAGTCGCAATGTTGCAAAGATAGGCGCTGCAGGTGCAGCCACACTGCGACGCGCAGCAGGACCGGATGTCCGCGAAGAGGTGGCAGGCGCAGCCGCAGAGGGAGCAGCGGGAGAGACACGGAGGGTCGCCATTGCGGGGGCAGAAAAGGACGGATGCGGGTGTCAAAGTGTATGACATAGTGAGGAAGAGGTACACTGTGGAGGAACTAACCGCCATGATGATACACGAGTCTTGGTGGTGGATTTTTGAAACATGTGATACATGAGTCTTGGTGGTTGATTCCTAAAACATGAAAAGCATGTATGAGCAGAGACGTTCAGAGCGAGGAGGAAAAATAAAAAAAGAACAAAGAAACCCCTTGGAAACCTTGTCTGACATGCAACCGACATGCCATGAAAACCATGCAAACCGTTCATGCAACTCAAGCGTCAGATTCAAATCAGACGGTGAGCTCGAAAAACTGAGCAGCCACACTTGATTTTCCGCCTCAGCCCGAAACAGATAGCAGTGATGTAAAACGAGACGAGGTCAGAATGGCTTGGATGCCTTCCGCGCGCACCCGCAGCGGGAAAGCGGCACGGAGGCAGACAGGATCAGCACCGGTGACTGCAGTTGACGCAGTGACATCAGGAAAGTCGGGCACGCCAGACCCCAATCTCTCCTGTGGTAGGCTGGAATGGGTGCGTGTCGTCGGTGTATTCCCCACGCGAGCGCGCAACCGCAGCTCGGAATGCATCACTGTCGTGGACCTGTGCAACCGTCTGGAGCGCCAGGTGAGTACGCATCCAATGGCGGACCCCATTCTGGGCCAGTGCGAGGGCAAGCGTTTTGTGACCAAACCATTTCTGCCAATAGAGACGCTGCAGTTGTCGCGCTTTCATTGCGGGACGCTCACCGGTGTCATAGTCGACAGCCCACTGCAGCACCATCCGATCCATTGCTTGGCACTCGGCGTCCGTGCATAGATGGTCATCGGGTCCAGCTCCCAGATATTCAACGCGAAGAACCATCGCACGATACCAGTAGCGGAGCAGTATGTCACCCAGCGCCAGATTGTCTCGCAGCTCTTGTCGCTTCAGCAGACGCAAGACCAGGTGCAAAGCCGTGTGGTCTTCTTGCTGCCGCGAGTAGTCAAACCAGGTGGAAAGATACTGTCTGCAGAAGTACGTCAGCTGCTGCGCCTGATAGAAAAGGACCGCATCGCCATAGTACTCACAAAACTCTTCCCGTGAATACCGCTCGCCATCCCAGGCCAGGGCGCTGTCAGGCATCTCTTCTGGTAGTGGTTCGTCTATATACGCGGGCACGGGCATGAAAGTACGCCCCTCCTGTTGAACGATGGCCACGGGAGGTTGCGTCAGACGCACGCCAGCGGAGTGCGCAGCCGCAACTCCATCACCACCAGTGACACTGTTACGGCTACGTGGGCTTTGGCTTCCTCTGTGGTCATCCTGCTCGTGTGCTCGGCCGCGATGCATGGAGCGCGCATCCGCAACTCCGGGGCGACAAGAAGCTTTGTGCGAACGACTTGCTTCCTGTCTCTGTGGACGAGACTCACCGCGTGCATCTGCAGCGGCGGCGGCTGGCGCATCGTGAACATCCTGTCTGCATGGCTGGCGCCTAGGACTTCTGGAGCGCGCATCCGCAACTCTCTGGGGAGAAAAAGGAGACACAGCCTCCGCCACAGACCTGTCCTTCGGCCGACGTGGAAGTGGAGAACATGAGGCAGATGCGGCGAGAGATGCCTCTTGCCCCTCGCCAGGAGCGGAGCGCGCAGCCGCAGCTCCAGGCGGGGAAGGCGATGCGGAAGTAGACGGATCAAAATCCGGAGAGGTCGTGGAATCATCTCGTTGTTGCGCCATCTTGGTCGCACACGTTCGGACACAAGGGGATCCGAAGCTGAAGCCAAGCGGCGCTATGGAAAGAAAGCGGATCCCAAGCAGCTAAAACAATGTGCCAGCGGGTTTGAACCAGCTGTCAAAAAAAAACATGAGAGCACATATAGAAGCAGTGCGGGATTGAACCAGCGATTTAAAAAAACAGATGAGAGCACACATAGAAGCACATATATGAGAGTATACATAGGAAAAGACCCATATGAGAGCACATCAGAGCACTCATATGAGAGCACAAGTGTGACAGCACATAGAAGCACCAACCTGAGAGCACATAGGTTAAGGAAGCTCTTGGCTCGACCACTACCGTCACCCCCACCAGCAGTACCACCAGCACCGCCACCACTGATAGCAGCAACCGCCCGGCAGTGGCTTTGTTGGCCAAAGTCCAAAGTGCCACAGGAATCTCCATCAGGCTCGGCTCTTCCGTGAGAGTGACTTTGGTGTAGTGATGGAGTCGTGGTGATCCAAAAGAGCAATCCCAAAAGAGCGGTCTAAGACAGCAGTTAGGAAGGAGCGCCCGTGAACGAAGCAGCCATGAATCATGCTCAAGCACTACTTCAATACTTTGGAATGACTATAGAAGAAGGTAGCAGTCAGACAGTACGAAAGTAGAAGCGCGCCCACCCGAGCAGCGGAATTGTGCTTTTTCAAGAGCCGCGCGCAGAGAAGAAGTAGCAAAACCCTCACGGTGTCACATGAGAAAGCGAAGCCAGCTGTGCGCAAACGCAACAGCCATCCGAGTACAAGCAAGCAAAACCCTCACGACGTCACGCGAGACAGCGAAGTTAGCTGTGCGCAGCCGCAACAGCCATCCGAGCACAAGCAACATACCAAGCCCAGCAGGAAGACTGGCTGGGCGGCAGTGGAAGCACTTGGAACCGTCCGCGCGCAGCCGCTGCGAAGACGCAAAAGAAAGGTCACAGAAAGCCATCAGCGGTTGAGACGACGCTGAAACCTGGCAGTAAAGGCTTTCCGCGAAGTCACCGCAGGACCACTAGACAGAACCACAGGCTCAGCGTCGCCAGCGGCACTCTTTCCGGGATGCAACCGAACATGACATCCATCCTGCTGCCACACCTGGAAGTCCACGCGAGGGGCGTGTGTATTGGGGTCCAACTCCTCCGGGAAGGAGGCGATGCCAAAACACACCACGCCCCTGGGACCGCACGCCACGGTCTTGGACGCCTCTGGCAGGGTCGCGATGAAATCGTGCCAGGGACATGTCTCCGAATTGGAGAGCTCTTCCCAGTATCCTTCATTGGAGTGATCAGGAAACCAATGGTCATTGATCCACGCCGTCCGCTCAAGTAAAAGAGAACGCATCTCCTGTCGTGGCGCGTGGCGGCGAAGGGCGCGTGTGTGAATGGTAATCACAGCCCTTGGTTGCTTTGTCACGCAGACCAAGGCGTCGTGCGCGCTGGTAAGATCGACCACAGGGACCGAAGGATATGGTGCTGTGGACGCGTGGAAAGCCAAAGAATGCCCGTGTGCAGCCACAACGGAGTCACCCAGTTCTGCCTCGGGGGCCAGCCATGTAGACGCAGCAACAGGAGGCAGCGCCTCCTGCGCGGCGTGCGGAGCTCCGTCATGCGCCATGGGTGCAGAACGAAAGCAGGCGAGAAGCAGGTTGTCGAGCGGGTTTGAACCAGCTAGAAAGAAAGATGCGGTGCAGGTGCAGTCATGCAGGCGCCGTGCTCGTGCCAATTTTGGTATTTGTGCTCGTGAGTCGGGGTTCTTACGGTAGGAGGTAAGGCTGGGTTTAGATCAGGGTTAGCGTGTTCGTCTGGAGCATTTTGACTGGCCCGCGCGCGCAAAAGTTACTGTGTGAATTCCTCATGTCCAGTCCGACTGCGCAGGTTCGCACAAAGTGGTGGGGACGCTGTCCGCTGTTCCGGGGCGGTGCTCTCGTGCAGTGCCGTGCTCGTTTTCGGAGAGGAAGTGCATTTGGCCTGAACGCAAATCTCCTCGACCTGTCACAGTGGCAGTACCGCTTGTCCCAAGCTGGAGTGTCATGGCCCCAGAGATCTACTTAACTAGTCATGACATGTCATGACAAATTTTGCTAGAACGGCAGGCGCAAGGAATTGGACACATTGGAGCCTGGAAAACGTCATTTTACGTGGCAGGTGCAAGGCATCGGAGCCTTTGTAAATTTCGTGGCAGGCGCAATGTTTTAGAAGACTCACCTCGTTCGCAAACACAACTGAGCTGGCGTCTGCTACGAAGGCTGACGTCCTTGTGGCTACACAGGAAGCTGGAAGGGTCCAAGAACTCTTGCTTGCTTTGGGGCCTGGTGAGAACAGCCAATCAAGATGCAGGGCTGTGTTACGTGATTGGGGCGTGGCGCGGTACACTGCCCGCAGAGGTACTGAGCGTTCGTTGCATCCCGTGCATCACCATGCACCCCACAAACACGAACAAAAAAATCGCCTCCAAAACGACCTCAAAAACCTTCCCTGGCCGCCATGGGGTTCAGCAGGAGGCTCCGAGTTCAGTTAGCACTTTTGCGGGCTACCCCCCCACACCCCCTAGAAGACTCCCGTCGTTCGCAAACACAACGCAGCTGGCGTCTTCTACGAAGGCTGGCGTTCGTAACATACACTCAGGAAGTGCAAGCAACACATATTTTCTTTCAGTTGCATGCGTCAATCCAAGGTGCACGATATCCAGCGCGCAGCGGCGTGGCCGGCAATCTTTCAAGGTAGGAGAAGAAAGTCATCGGCCTCGCGCAGCCGCAGAGTAACACAGGTTCATGCAGAATGACACATGAGCAACAGATGCCTCATGGAAAGTCAAAAAAGATTCTGTAGTAAGAGAACCATGTTGCGCGCAGTCGCAGCAACAGCGGAAGGGAGACAACTATGAGCTAGCCTGTGCCCGGGGTGTCAGCTGCCGTGAACGGTACCTCCTGGGACGCCTTCACTGGACTCTCCCATGTGTCCCCTGCGGGATAGGCCGAGATGCGTGGACAAGCGATGCGGGAGGCACTCTCCGCCAATGTGTCCGTCCAGGCTGGTAGGGGATCCGACGTCTGTTGACGAGAAGCGATCAAGGCAGTCAGTTGCTCCAAACGCCGCAGACATATCATTGCAGCTTCTGCATCGCCTTCTTGCAGCAACTGCAATTGTTCCACCACATATGTGGTTTCACTTGATGTAGTGCTCAGATCGGAGATCAATGCCAGAGCGTATTGGGTTTTGGTTCCAGTCCGTGGAGGATCCAAAATGAAATCCTTCAAAGCATGTCGCTGACAATACGCCACCACAGTCACAGGGCCTGCATCTGGAGCCAAAGCGTCGCGAACATTCTTGGTCACCAACCGAATGCCATAACTGTCTGAGCCCAACGCTTCTTGCTGCGTCCGTTCTTTCGAAAGAAGCATCACCAAGGCCTTCGCACAAGTAACCCGGCGACGTTTAGCGTGGCGTTCCAAGGCACCAGTCTCCAGGTGCGCTACCACAACCTCTGGCTGCACTTGAAAAACGCCAAAACTATTCTTGGTCAATTGCGACAGCAATGCAGCCGCAAACGCGTCTCCGCTGCACGGCACATGGCTCAAGGCATGAACAACGGCCAGCACAGCCTTTGTGGGCGTCGCTTGCAGGTCCTGCTCCGAAGCTTCCACAACTAAGAAGCGCATCCGCTTCGAGGAACTCGTCGTGGAGACGCTGTCAGTCGCCTGTGTGGCACCAGAGTCATTGTCACCACGAAGTGTGACCAAGATCTTGACACTGGCAAGCAAAGGCCACGATAACAGGTCACCGCCATGCTGACTATTGAACTCCATGACGGCATTCTCGTGATCAGCTGTATCGATTTTGGCGAGCTGGCAGGCTGCCTTTTGTCGAATGGCGACTTCCAAGCTGCCGCTACAATCTCGAATCCGTGTGGACCAAAGCACACGTCGTTCCACCGTGTGGTGCTCCGGTGGGTAAGGCACATGGATGTTGTTGAGTTGAAACAACTTGCCATGCAAGGCAGCTGCGTCTTGTTGGCTATACGCATCCAGCAAAGCACAAAAGGATAAAAAGCCTTCTTTGCTTGTGTAGTCCGTAGAAACCGAGGGCTGCCATTCATGCGTCAGCGTCTGCCCTGCTTCCTTCCAAATCTCGTTCTGTCTTTCGTCCTGCGCAGCCGCACGGACGGAGACAGCCACTTCACAGCGAAAGTCTTGAAAAGATGGAGTGACCTTGATTTCAGCACCACGGACTTGCACATCGAAGCCAAAGAAAGTCAACGGCTTTTCCAGATTCACCAAAGCAATAAATTCTTCCAGTTTCGCTTGTGATTCCGCGAAAATGGACGTGGTGATCTCTGCCCGATGTCCGTCTTGCACACAAGACTCGTCTCGAAGCACGATGTCCTGCGCCACACGTTGACCCTGCCGGGTGGTTACGGTACGCGGGTCTCCGCGCAGCCGCACGAGACTCGTGATATCGAAGCGTTGTCGACCATCTGTTAACTCCAGAATGTCTTTCAGACGTGTCGGTGGGCCCAGGCAAAAGTTGGGAAATTGTCCCTGTAGAACCGAATCGAAGTGAGTCTGTCGCAGATCCAGAACCACTTTCAACGGAGTGTGAATATATTCGGCTACCTCTTTCTGGAGAAAGACGACAGATTTCATTTCGAAGTGCAAACCCACCTGGAAGCGCGCAGCCGCAGCTTCCAACTCGCCAGACTTCTGTTGCCACATGACCATGCGACCAGACACATATGCACCTTCTTCCGCGCTAGCAAACAGCACGTGCAACCGCTTTCCCTTGGTCGGCGCGCCTTGCCGGGTATATGTGTACTCTTCCACCTTTTGAAACTTTACTTGGACCACAAACCGACCGTGTCGCGCGGCGGCCTGCAGTTCTGACAAAGGAGAGCGACGCCTATCTTCACCTCCGCCCGGTTTCTCGACTTTGACCGTCATAAGAGTCAACACTTGTGGGACTCACACAGGTTCAAGCCATGCATAGAACACAGCGTCCCTATGCGATGCATTAGAAATTGAGCCACAAAACCAACATCCGAGTCGAACTCCATCAAAAGGACATGAACCCGATGCAGAAAAGGTTGCAGACCTCGATCTCAGTAGACAAGAAGGTCAGAGAAGTAACAAAGCTAGAGTCACAAATGCTCTCATGACAGCTACTACCTGTAGCTAGTAAAGGTAGAGTAGAAGCCAAGAAACCACTGTAGCCAAGGCGACACCGAAGCGAAGTATTTCTTTTGATTACTTTTCCTCTCTTTGCTTCAGGTACTGGAGGTGATCTGGTGACATGAGGGTCACCATCGAAGAAGTCTGAGACATTCCTTTGCGAAGGTTTGTGTCTCGGATTCTTTGTCCGAGAACAAAACATGGAATCTGGCAGGCAAAGTATTTGGAGGTCCTTGTTCCAAGATGGCACGAATCTTATTGTCGAGACCGACAGATCGCAGACGATCCAAGGAGCGCACACGTGACAAGGCCACATATGCAGCCAACCACCTCATGTCTGCTTGGAGTCGACGAGGGAAGCGCCAATGAAAGATCAAACCAGGATCTGTCGTTGTACCTTGCAACACATGCAAAGTACTGGCTTTCACAGTCACCAACGGAATCTGCGTCCTACGAATCTTGACAGAGATCTCTTCTTCTGTACCAGTAGCAAGGGATCCAGGGATCGTCACTTTCAGCGACCAACCTTGTTGATTCGTAAATGGTCGCACCAAAAACACGCCACGCATCCGCAAGCATGCAGCACACTCGGCGTCCATGTGCGGTGTATGTTCAAGACAGGCTTCATCGGGCAGAAATTTCTGCGGCACATCTTGCAGCTCCACATAAATAGCTTCCGGAAAGCGTCGCAAAACGACGAAAGATGCATGCAAATCAGTGCGACTCCGATCCTCCGAAGCAAACGCAAAACCCCGAATGATTCCAATTGTATCTACCACCACATGAGGAGCAGCGACTGTCTGAGTGAAGCGCACTTCCATACCAACGTGATAGAGACCATAGTGAGGAAGCCGTCCGGTCTCGTTCATGTTTGGGTGCGCAACCACAGCCCGGGCGATAGCAGCAGCTTTGTCGGCCTGCAGATTTTGGATCATGTCAACAGCACGAGTGGCATACAAGGTCTTGCCCGCTGCTTTTGCTGATTCAAAACTGCGAATGGTATAGGCCATGCTAACCACAGACCAAGTGTAGCAAGCTTGGAAAAAATGCTCAGTGCCGGACAAGCGAGCGCTGTCGCCGGATCCACTGATGTTGGTATTCACCAACGCCTGCCATTCGCTCTGCGTCAACAACGCACCACCCGGAGTTCGCATTTTCCTCAGGATACATTCCAAAACTGGATCCTGGAAACGCATGGCCGTCTGCAGGCGGTACACATAACGGAATTGACCGAAGAGATGCACGCCGGCTTTATGTTCATCGCTGGTTCCATCCACACTGGCAAGCAAGGAATGCGAAAAAGGAACAGGAGGTAATTGCAGATCATCCCCAGAAATGACGACCACCGGCATACGCCCCCAGCTCTCGTCCAATTCCGCATAACGATGAAGCTCCAGCCCCAGGGCCCTTTGCCGACCATAAGACTTCCGCAGCGCATCCGCATGCAGCATCTGACCAATGCATTGAGAGAATTCATCGATGACGATGGCAGCCAGCGGGACAGTGTTGCATTCCAAAGCCTTCCGTGTCTCTGCGGAAACACGCAAATGCACGGTCCGCAAAGATGAATCTTTGCGCAGCTTGTTTGCGCTGTGCATGGTTCGGCCATGAATCTGACGAGCGGCTTTGTTCGAAGGCGCCTGCGCTTGCATGGAACCATCACCAAAGACTGCTTCAAACAACGGTCTTAAAACCATGTTGATGATCCGAGTCTTCCCACATCCACCGCCTCCAACCAGCAGACATCGCAACAGAACACGATCCTTGGCGAGCATACCATCGCCACTTGGCGGAAGTGATTCAAAGGCATCTTGCAGAATTTTTGCAACAATGGCGACGAAGCCAAGTTGATCGCGGTTCAAAGTGGCTCTGTCGGCCAACACTTTCGCCACCGCCGCCGGACCGCGCAGTCGCAGATCCGCCGCCACCAAGCGCACAACCGCTTCTTCTTCTGCGTGTGCAACCGCAACGGTCGCCTCCTCCGCTGCGTCATCTGCTGAATCCATTTTGCGATAGAACTCCACACGTTGTTGCTGAGCAGACAACAAAAGCTCAACGGACGCTTGTGGCATCCATCCTCCAGAGTCCTCCACGGGAAAGTGTTCATGGCAAAGTGCCACTTTTGTGTTCAATGCTTTCTCCACTTCCAACATGAAGCGCACTGCATCCGAAGTCCGGGTGCCACGCTGCTTTGCGGATTCCAACTCTGAGACATGCAGCAGATGTGCTCGCACGGCATCTGGATCCTACAGATGAATAAGCGATGTGGGTAACATATACCATTGTCATGCTGTTCCTTCTGAAGACCACGTCATGTGCATCTCATGTCTCATGACCTCTCTCTCTGTACATATATTGATGTATACGCATCAGTGTCTACATGAAACTATACGCAATTTATTCACGACAGAGGAACCATTGGACGCTTATAATATATCGATCAAGCCATGGACACAGACAAGACATCATAACATAGCAACCAACAAACCCGAAGAGGTAAAAAAGAATAAGAGTTTGAGACATAGCAGTCCTGCGGCAGGAGCGTCATGAGTTCAATGCCTCCTGCCATGGGTCGCTCCACGTTCGCTTCACCCACTCGGTCATCTTCGACAGCGTCGGGTTCACCACCGACATTTTCGATCTCGACCATGATCTGTTGATCATCCGAACGAACAGATGCGGTATCATCTTCGACACTCGCGGTCGTCTTGTCCTTGGCTATCTGAATGGCAGTGTTTCGAGCTTCTGTATGCATGTCCAAGCGGAACACCATGTCCCGTGTTCTATGCGCAACAAACTCAGCCAGATGTAACTGTTCCGCCGCGAATGTATCCGCGACTGGTGCCAAATAAGCAGAAATACAGACTACAAGCTTCTGGAAATTTTGCGTTCCGACGCAGACATGTTTGTTATGTCCATGGTACAGAGCTTGGGAAACCAAAATGTGACACCAAGTGAAACCTTTACCTTCCAGACAGCGAAACGTCGTGGTATCTGCCAGTGTGGGTAACTTCTTCGCTATGCGAATTTTCCGATCAGCTTCAGTGGCCAAAACTTCCACTTCCGCGCGTCGAAGACGCCAAGCAGGAGAGAATCGAATATCCTGAGTCTGCTGGCTACACACATAGGCTGCAGCCAAACTCACAGGGTCAGCACAGGCACCCACTCCGGGACAACGCATCAATCCAAACAGGGTCAACTTGTAGCGAGCGTTTTCTTCACCATTCCCTACGTCCGTGCGACTGCAAGCTGCGCCTACCACGCGTGGCACGGCCATACGAGGAGCCAACCGCTGCCAGTAGGTTTTTGCTTTCAGATAATGCTCATCAAAGAGGAAACAATCGCCCAACTTACCCTGTTGGCGAGGAACGATTTCAATATACGCGACATAACTGTGAAAATTCAAATCTTGTAGGAAGAATCCACGATGCAGCCAATCATCGAAGGTTGAAGCAGTGGCGCGAAACATCCGAACACCAGGTTGTTCCGGCTCCATGTCCACGCGCTCACAACACGGTGCACCCACACATGCTTCATCTCCAGTCTTCGCAACTTCAAGACATGATGCATCCACCGCAACCGCACCATCTCCTTCAACATGTTCACCACTTGCGGCTGTAGACCTCGACTCGGAAATCCGTCGTTTCTTGTCTTCGGAGTGACAACCGTCCTGTTCCAAGGAACTGCGCTCCGCAGAACGTTTGGTAGATTCTCTCGGCAATGGAACCACATGTGCCACGTCCACATCAGCTGGACGAGCCGCCTCTTGCACGAAATCGCCGGCCAGTGCTCCGTTCCACAGGCGTTTGCCTTCTTCCAGCAAGTAAAAAACCTTGCTCAAAAACAAAGGACGGTCGATGTGTGTGGCAACGCTGTGCCCACCAGTCAGGGCGAAGATTGCAAGCTCACAAGAGGAAAACCAATGAGAGCGGTTGGCGCTAAACAAAATCCGCCGCAATTTGGCACGCGCTAGGTCCTCGGTGGTGCCCAAGATCTTTTTCCCTGCTGCAATCTCTGCATCCAAACGTTCCAAGCCGTGCAGAACAGGAGTAATGGCACTTGCAAGAACTTGCTGACCCTTGGCGAGATATTTGGTCATGTAGAAATCGCACACGTGCGAGCTTCGCACCCCTTCTGCCAAACATGCGAGGATATGCCGCGCATCCGCAGACAATCGAGCGTGTCCATAGAAGAACTGCACAGGCTTCAAATCGACTAGGCTGAACTCCGGCGCCTCACTTGGTACGACACGATCATTTCGTTGCAAATCCACATTACAACGTGCAAAAGCTTGACACAGGTCATTGGAAGTGGATCTGAAGGGGTGTCTGCGAACTACTTGCACGCGTCCGTATTCATTGCGAGTATTGCTGTAAAACACACTCGCTTTCCGAACCAATTCTTTCCCTCGTCGCAGTAAACGCTTCAGCTTGTCCCCGACCTTCAGCTCCACGACACGAACAAACAAAAAACCGACAATAGGAGCGAGGATCCAAAGCCTTCGTTTTCCGAGGCGCGCCTGTCTCATCTCCCATGTGTTTTGCAGCATATTTTGCACAGGTCGCGACACAGTTGTGGTCATGGTTTTGACAAAAGAGACCTCGAACATCTTTTCCAAATGCCCTTGCCCAAGCTTCTGCATCTGCACACGTATCTTCCCACTGCGCAACACGTCCAGTAGGTAACCGCAAACCAACGACCCGACGACAACCGTCCAAAACCCACGGCTGCGCATCTGATCGCAACAGCAGATGGTCCTTGCTTGGGCGCGCAACCGCAGCCGGCGGCTCTCGGAAAAGTCCCCGGTCATCTGGCTCGCATATAGTTCCAAAAGCACCCGGCAAGCGATAGAGAGGCATGACAGATTGATGACAGCCCGTCAACGGTACATCCTTGTAACCATGTCTTGGTGGTCGCTGCTCTTGCGAAGCTTTTTCTTTTTCCAACGCAATATGTCCAGGCGGTTCGCTTTCCGTCACCTCCAAAAGCATCCGATGATCGCCGGACTCTTCTACGCCTGCACAACGGCCAAGACAGCCGATGCACAATGCATACAAGCGTTGGTTGCTCGTATACTATTATGGTGATCTGCAAAACCATCAGAATAGTTAAACCTCGTCACACAATCTACATCTCTTCATGTATCCCTTGTCCAGCTTACGTCATGTAAAAGAATCCATTACAAACACATTGAACTGAAGGACACATGCATCATGAACTCCCTCATCGGCCTCCATCTAAGCGGCTGTGTCTTTGCTGTTGTCGCGAGAAAGGTTCTGGTGGAACTGCGACGCCAAGTTGTTGAGCAGGAAGCGTTGCTGTGTCATACTGCACCACACTCACAGCGTCCACAATCTGTTGTCGCATCTGTTTCACGGCTGCTTGCATTGCGAGGCCATCCTTTGCAAACAATGTCTGCAGTTTGGCGGCAGAATCATTGGGCAGACTAATGACCTTTTTGTGTCCATGAGCAAAGCCACGGCCCTGCGCCTCCAACGGCATCAACAAACTTTCTACAAAATCGGCAACGCCGAGAGAGGCATTGGACGCCATATGGTCATCTTTTGCCACGCGCAACCGCGACGGCATGTCAGGATCATCGAAACAATGTTGCCCGATGTATGCTGAGTGCACGCCGAGGATCTGTGTCAGAATGATTTCTTCCATAAGCAAAAACACTAGGGCCTGCGTCACTGGCGATCTGGCCACGACCCGATGCATGTGCTGTAAAGCAGGCAAAAGAGGTCGTTCTGCCAAGAGATCCCACTGAGTCTCGCACAGTCTTTCCATATTGCTTGGGTCGAACACTGTCATGGTCAAAGGCATGTAGGTATCAGCGAAATTACATGTCAAAAATAATTTGAGCGGGCCGAAGGTCATGTCCATCGCATGTCCGAAATGGCGTAGTTTCATTTTGTTCCCTTCTGTCAATGGGACTACAGCAGTGCTGGTCAGCAGATGCTTCAGCGCTTTCATGGCTGGTCCATCCCTGTTGCCAGCACTCGCATAAGCCTGACCCAGCGTGGAATATCGTTGCAGAGCCTGGAAATCCTCGGCCTTTGCCTTTGCGATTGCTTGCAGGTCTAACTGAAAAGACTTGTGACTGAGAAACGTCATTTTTGTAGCGAGAAGCAAGCTTTGACGTCGCACGGTATCCGCAAACATGGCTGTCACCTCCGCGTTGTCCCACCTGGACGTTGGCCGCGCCGCATATGGCACGGCGTCTGTTGCAAGGTGATATTCCAACTCTTCTCTTTTCAAAAGACATGCCATGAGCGCTCTTGGCGCAATCCGCACAGGTCTGCGTTGATCAAAAGGTAAGCAATCTCCGAAGAAAAATTCCGTGAAAGCCAAACACCAAGACTCGGGAAGGAACATGGACAGGAGCTGTCCCGCCCGCACTTCCAACACATTGGCATCCGGCGTCCGCGGTCCTTCCAGAAGTTGCAGTTCCGCTTCAATGCTCTGTTCATGTCTGTCGGCCAATCTACGACACACTTCCCGCAGTTCTAAAGCGTGTCCTCGACAGGCTTCTCGAGCCGCAGTCAGTTCCATGCCAGCAACCACTTGAGCATCACCTTGCGCGGCCTCTGCCTTCTCTTCCTTCCTCTGAATGCGAGCTTGGTCCTCCTGTATACGTCGAATTTGCTCCTGTAGGACGACGTAATGCTGCAGAGGATCGTTGTCCGCGGCCTCATCAAGTCCAATGAGGTTCTCTGCTTCTTCCACCGGAGCTTTCCCCGCTTCTCCTTGCGCAGCCGCACAGGACTCTTCACCCTCTGCCTCTGCATCCAACTTTTCCGGCTCTTCATCCAACAAGTCAGCTTCTACAATTTCATCTTCCCGCGACCTCGCTGCCGTGTCCGCTGCTCGCGAGCTAGCCGGACCTGTCAAATTCGGTCGAAACATGTTGGCTTCCTCCATGCGCACAGCAGCAGATACAATTCCCGGGGGCGCCTCATCCTCCTTCAGGTCAACCTGTGCTCGTGCTACATCGATTTCCACATCATGAAACAACGGACAAAGCTGTTGTCGAAGACGAGCGCATTCGAGGTAAAGGGAACGTGGCACCAACAGTGGTTTCGCTCTGGCTACGTCGGTGCGGGATACAGAAAAAATAACCTGCAACTGTTGACCCACGTCCTCCATGCAAGGCGGCAAGGACTTCCCCACGGCTGAAGTTCGCGGCTGCGCTATGAAAGTGGTATTGCCTTGCAAGCCATGTTGCAACTCACACGCATCTCTTCCATGCTTGTGGTTCAACACCACCTTCCTGTAAAGTACCCGAGCTTGTCCAAGAAGCATCCGTGCAGCCGGCAAGTCCCGAAGCTTCTGGTAAAGCGGATGCTCGCGGCCTCCCCACAGGTCATTGGCAAGCGCTCGCTTGGGAAGCGTGGGTTTCCGGTGACACAAGCTGTGACAACACCACCGACAAAGGAACACCGTGCCGTTACTGTCCCCGATGCCAGCGCAAGGCGGATGCCCTTCCACAGCTGTATCCCGGGAACCATCCTCGCGCGCAACCGCAGCTTCACCTTCCGCGTGCGCATCCGCGACGCTAACCTCTGCGCGCGCAACCGCAGACTCTGCCTTTTTCCGCAAAGGTACCCTGCGTGTGTGCAACAGCCACCGGTAGCCAGGGCGATCCGGATGTTGCACCGAACTTGCGTGTAGTTCGGCAACTGGAATCTTCGGCCACCGCTCTGCGTATTTGTCCACTCCCAAAAGCTGTTGAATTTCTTCGGCTGGTCCAAAATAATACAGACCGTGCTTATCTCGAAGCAAGTTGCTCCGCCGACGACCCGCCTGCTCATCTGCCGAACCAGCTTGAGCCTCAGCTGCTTCCTCCTCGTCCATCTCCTCCCGCACCTCTTTCCCCAAAGGCAAAGTGCGAAACATGTAGCACCGGCGCATCCGCTCGGTCCATTCCTTCGTTGCGCACACAGCGCATCCCACCATGGCACGAGGTTCGCGCTCGGGGGCTCGAGGCTCTGCAGTTCTCACTGCTGCTGAAACAGACTCATCCCCTAAGGGTTGGCTGGCTACGCTGACCAGTTGGGCGGTTGCGTTTCCAAGGATGCGTCTTTTGCGGGCCCAAGACATTGGCAAACCATGACAAGGAGCAGCTTCCTCATGCTGCGCATGCCAAAAGACGCGCTTACGGTACTCTGCCCAGTTCACATGCGCCTGGTCCACGTGCGCAGACAGATCTGTCCAATTCACAAATCCATCTCCACACAGTTCACACACTCGAGGAGCTGTCAAAATAGGCAACAACCCTTTTGGCAACTCTGCTCCACCTGCCACACCATACATGGACTCTGCATCGGTTTTGAAAAACGGTGGGAAAGCATAGGTATCCATTCGAGTTGACAATACATACTGGGCAGGCGGACTTTTGAACAGACCACGGCTTTCCGAGACCCATTCCTCTACCTTTGCCTTTCTTTGATCCCGATGCTGCAATATGCCAAACCAGCCCACCCACACCATAGCAGTACCCAAAGATGCCTCCGTCCACAGATCCCGAAGGTCATGCTTCGTCAGAAATGTATCAAAGTCTTGCGCAAGGGCATGTAGTTGCTCCGGCTCTTTCACACCCCAGGCACTCTGAAACCAGGCCGGTTGGTCAGGCATGCTGCATTGCGCATCTTTCAAAGCTGCGACCAACAAATCAAAACTCTCCACTGGTTTGCGGCCATCTACGTCACCTCGCAGCGCCATGATCTCCGCCACCAAAGGTCCATCCAAAAGTGGCAATGCCTCGCGCCGCGCAACCGCAGACGCATTCTGCAACTCCATGGCTGCCATGCGTCGAAGCACGTGCTGTCCATCCCAGTTGGACGGGATGTGCACATCGCGAAAGTCTTTCGCAAAGGGCGTGGCTGTTCTGTGTAAG